GAAAGGCTTGGGCCCAATTTGGAAACTTGGGCTATAGGTGGGCCATGATTGGGCCTTGATGATTATGAGATATTGGACCATTGGAATACCAAGAATTTGGACTAGAATAAATGGATGGGCCTTAAGGTAAGACAATGTAGAGGTCTGGGCCCAATTTGGAAAATTGGGCCATATGTTAGGCTTTGGCCCATTACTTGACTTTTGGGCCTTGGAGTGTGAGTTGGGTCTTGGACTTGAATCAAGCTAGGTTGGGGGTAAAGTAGTCTTTTACCCCAAGCATGGACTTGTGGTTATGTATTGGAACCCAATTATTAATTGGGTGTCGTTTTGATGTTGACAATTCAGGAATCTGTCAACCAGCAGCTGGAGTTTTATCCTGGGACTTCAGCAGTGCCAGGTGAGTTCTCATCACTATATCAACAGGGTCTAAGGCACCAATGCCGACTCTTATCGGATTTGTAGCCGGGTTTATTGCATGATATGCTTATTGATTTACATCCTGGTAGTTAGGATGGTGATATGCTTAGTGACCTGGTAGGTCGGTATCCTGGTTTATAGGATGGTTTCTATATTAGAGATCTGTTAGATCAGTATCCTGGTTATAGGATGGTTCCTATGTTAGAGATCGGTTAGATCAGTATCATGGTTATAGGATGGTTGCTATGCTATTGATCGGTTAGATCGGTATCCTGGTTATAGGATGGTTGCCATGATTAGTGATCTGTTAGATCTGTATGACTATCTGTACTTGCATGCTAGTGTATGATGTTTATGTGCACATGTTTGTTGGTTTGGGGAATTGGGTGGAGGCAGGTTCCGCTTTGTGCTATAGGCCAAGATACCCAAGGCGGACCGGATAGACTGCAGACCCGATTAGGGCATACTAGTCAGGCCGAAGGCCCGACGAGCGGTCCAGATAGGCTGAAGGCCTTGAGAGGTGGTCCAGACGTGCCGATGGCTCGAAGAGCGGTCCAGATAGACTGATGGCCTGTGAGGCGGTCCAGTCAGACTGATGGCTCATTATGCATGCTCTGTTTGTTTATATGATATGATTATGATCGTATGGCGTTGGTATTTTGGGGGTAACTCACTAAGCCTTCGAGCTTACATTTATCGATTATTGTTTCAGGTACTTCTGATGATCGCGGGAAGGCGAAGGCATGATCGTGCACCTCCTTATGTTTTTATGATTTGATTTTGGGAACCTCTGACATTAAACCATTTTGAAAACATGTTTGTAATAATTATTGGTTTTTGAATGACTTAAAAAGTTTTAAATTGGCTTGAATTTTATGGATGTTACAAACAGAGCCTTGTGACAGAGCTTTCTAATAAAGCTTTCTGGCAGAGCTTTCTGACAGAGCATATGAAAGTGTTGGGGTTCAGGGAAGCATTGGTGTTCCTAAATACGTTGGGGGTACTCTCTTTCGTGGCTGAAAGCTCTCCTGGTGAGAGAAAGCTCTCTTTGGTGTAATGATGCTCTCCAAAGTCAGAAGTTGAAGATTCTAGAAGTAGTTGCATGAGAACTTGTGATTGGTTAACACTTTCCATAGACCTATGAACTGATGGGCTTGACCCATTAGGGGTTTAAGTCTTATCCTACGTCTATAAATAGGGATGTCTAGTAGTGGTATCTTGAATTCTAGAGAGTATGCTGAATTTCTACGAAATTGAACTTGTAATATCTGTTTGAGAACTCTTGAATAAATATACTTCCTCCTACAAGTGGAGGTAGACCATTTTGACAGAAACCACGTAAATACTATACCTTTGTGTGTATAGTTTCGTGAGTTATTCGATTTACTTTATAACAAAAACCTTTTGATTATTTCGATTAAATAATTCGTCTTCATGATTACTTTGTGTGTCTGTATGTGTGTGTATGCGCGTGGGGGGGAGAGAGAATAGTTTTTAAATGCAAAGTGTGAATATTATAAATAGAAGAAAATTGTTAAAAAAATGTTTTTTTATTTTTTATTTATTTATTTAATTTTGGAAGTTGTAGACTAAAACCAAAAATTAAATATAAGAAAGGTGCATGTCTTATATACTCATGCTCAAGCTTAAAACTTAGCATCGTCATTTAGTTTGTAAATGAGCGGGACTGAGCTATATGAGAATCAGATGATGAAATTTAAAGAAAAATTTAACTTTGATGAAATTTATCTGGTTTAAAGTCTGGCTTGATTGTCTTTTATTCTAATGATATTCTTGCTTGTAATCGACTTTCCTAGGCTTGAATCTTTGAGCTTGAAAATCATTTGTTATAATTAAAAAGAAAATGAAAAGTAAAAGGACATGGGTTAACTACGGATAAACGTGTTTTTTTTTTTTAAATTTGTTAAGTAGGTTGACTTGGTCTTTCAGAATTCTTAATCGGAATAACGTAGGCACTTCAACACCTCGATTCCTTTATTCTTTATCCGAAATCTTTAACATTTTAAGTCCTTGTATCGAATCTACTTCTCATTTTTTTATTTTTTTCTTCTTGAATTTTTTGTTAAATTTTTAATAAAAAAAAATATTTCTCGAAATTCCAGAATTGTTTATCATATTTCGATTCCAAAGAAGAGTCTTTCTTATTCAAAATCCAAAATCTGAATATCACTTTGAAAAATATTTTTTTCATGAAAAATACTTTAAATGTATCATAAAGTTTGTACGGAATGTCCAAAACAATTTATTTAAGATAAACATATAAAACTTTCAATACACAAAAACTTAAGAACTATAAATATGGCTTGAGTATTTAGCATTTGCGACAACGCAATGTGGTAGGGCATTGTGACAAAACAGTATGATAGAGCATTTATGCTAGAATATTCTGACAGAGCATTACGACAGAGTATTGTGGCAGAGCATTATAACAGAGCATTGTGACAAAGCATTGTAACAGAGTCTTGTGATAGAGCTTTCTAAGAAAGCTTACTGACAAAGCTTTTTGACAGCATTTGAAAGCGCTGGTGTTTCGGGAAATGTTGATGTTCCTGAATATGTTGGGGTGCTCTCTTTGGTGGCTGAAAGCTCTCATGGTGAGAGAAAGCTCTATTTGGTGTACACTACAAGAATAACAGGCAATAGCGGCGACACCTTTAGCAGCGACGGCCACTTTTAGCAACGACATCAAACAAACGCGTTTTTTGTCGCCGCTAAAAGTGCCCGTTGCCGCTAAAGGCGTCGCCGCTAAAGGCTTATGTTGGCGATCCGCGTCATTTCAACCCTAACCGTCGATTTAGGCGATGATCCAACGACTAGGAGGACGTAGAAAACCCCGCGTTATTAGCGGCCTCAGAAGGCAATAGCGGCGACCAAAGGAGCATTAGCGACGAACCAATAGCAGCGACCCTTTAGCGGCGACGCCCGTCGCCGGTAATACTCTAATTTCTTGTAGTGGTTATGGTGCTCTCTAAAGTCAAAGGTTGAAGATTCTAGAAGCAACTGTATAAGGACTTGTGATTGGCTGACACTTTTTATCGACATATGGACTAATGGGCTTGACCCATTAATTAGGGTTTTAAGTCTGATCCTACATCTATAAATAATGATGCCTGGTAGTGGTATCTTAAATTCTAGAGAGTTGGTCGAATTTCTACGAAATAGTACTTGTAATATTTGTTTAAGAACTCTTGAATAAGAATACTTCCTCATATTGGTGGAGGTAGAACATTTTGACCGAACCACCTAAATACTATATCTTTGTTTGTATATAGTTTTATGAGTTATCTGATTTATTTCCTAACAAAAACCTTTTGATTATTTGATTAAATCATTGGTATTCATGATTATTTTTTCAATCTCCATACTATAAAAACAGTTTTTATCTATGCAATAAATTAGTTTGTAAAAGGAATTACACGTGTTGTTTAATTGTTCTTCAAATACCAAAAGGCCATTGACCCCGACGCATGACGAACAACCATCATACATACTTATAAAGCTAGCATTTTTCCTTGAATCTCATGCATTTGAAACCCCCATAAAAATTTGCCAACACCTCATGCATTTGAAACTCCCACACCCCTTTCACCTTCAAAGTAATGAATCTCATTCATTTGAAACTTCCAAGACTATTCAACTTATATGATTTAATTTGACTTTTGAAATTCCCTTCACACAAATGTAGTTAGCCTATAAATACTTAGTTCTATAGAAACAAATATCCTAAACCAAAACAAAATACTTCTTTTGTCTAATTAGTGATCCTTTGTTCTCTGTTTTGGTGTAAATGAAAGTATTATGTTGTCAATATAATATTGAAGTTCAATAATCTATAATAAGCAAGGTATGCATTTTGTGTTTTTAATCAAAACAATTGGTTTTTTTGTTGGTTTGTTCACATATTGTGTTTGTAATCGTGAATAAAAGTAGCTCTTAGGTTTGGAACTTTCTAACATCTATTTTAAAAATTGACACATGCAATATTTTTATTGACCATACAGGTACGAGCAATTAATTTTTGAAAGGCAAGGCTCTACACCATCCATTTCTTATAAGTTTATATTGTTGGGGGTAAAATTGAATTGGTGAATGGAGCAATCAAGGGCGAGGATTTAACTTCAAGTTTTATAATTCTAACTCTCCTTGAAATGTGATATGCATAATTTGTTGAACTTATTTATAAACACTCTGAGATTTAATGAATATTTAAGTTGAAGATTACCTCACATTTTGAACAATATGCAAGTTTTTGTGTTGAGTTCATATTGCGATGTAGAAATTCACTTTAATGAGCTGATGAGTTTATCGCTTTATGAGGAAATTTGTAGTTTTTAATGAGATGATGCATTGATGTTTTTAAAGATGATGCCAGAAACTTTACCCTTTACCGTTGTTAATTGTTGTAGGTTTGTTGTACAAGTTGTATCTCTTGGTGTTTAATTCTATTGTTGTTATCCATTCACATGTTTCATATTCTTGAAAATGATCAATGCAATGATTTTCTTAAATCAACATTAACAGAGTAAGGAGTCAAACACATTAATTGAAATAAAATAATAATTGGACTTTTATGAAGAAACATATAGCTCGAACATGCTACCTCCACAGCTTAAACCTACAAAAAATTCTTAATAATTAATAATAGAAATGATAATAAATGTTGGAACTATAAAACAAACACCTAATAAGATATATCAATGCCAAGATTGTTAAAATGTGTATTTTTTTTAGTTATTCACTAATCTTGGTTTTTATTTTATAATAAATGTCATATTAATGCAAAATATTCATTTGAAAGTTACGCAAACTCTTGATCTTTCAAGTAATTAACCAAACATACTCGGTTTTTTTAACTTAATTAAATCATTCACTTTAACCTCCTTAATTTGATTTATTTAATACATTAAAATCAATTATTAGTCTAAGTTCAAACCAACTCTTCATTTTTCAACCAAATATATACATATAACTTATTGGTTAAAATAAAAATGGTTTTAAATCACAACCATAAATCAAAATATCATAAGACTATTTTTCTAATAGTTAAAATTATGTATATTTTTAAATATAAAACCTAAACTGAAATGTATATTTAATTAAACGTCAATGTGAGACTAACCCACTTAGTAGAGGTTTTTCTTTTAGATTGAAGGTCTTGCGTTTTAATCTGGACGTTGATGAATTTTATTAACTTGGTCATAGTAATTTCTAACAACTAAACACCAGTTATAAAAATCAAGGTTTTAAACAATATAATTGCACACTGTGCAACGCGCGGGAATTCATCCACTATACTTATAAAGGAAACATTTTTCCTTTCACCACATTCATTTGAAACTCTCATGACTTTTCAATTTTCTTTCTAATAATTGGTTAATAATGTTAAATAAATATCAAACCTAAAGTGTAATCATATATAAACTAAATTTCAATATTAAAAGAATATATTTACTTCTACTTACAAAGTTATATTTTTAACTATTAACATATTATACTAAACCTATTAGTTTTATTATGATGTTGTATGTAAACCTTTATCATTTTAAAGCTACAACTTTTGAACAATTTGTATAAAATACTTAAATTGTTAATTTAAATATAACATTATAAGTCAACTTAAATAACCCAAAGAATATTTTGTAAATAGTTAAAAATGATAAATTGTAGTGTCTTTCTTATAATGATTATAAGTTTGTTAATAAGGTTAAATAAATATTTAACATAAAGTGTAATCATAAATAAACTAAATTTTAATATTAAAATAATATTTTTACTTCTACTTATAAAGTTATGTCTTTAACTTTTAACATATTATACTTAATTTATTAGATTTAATATGTGTTGTATGTAAACCATTATCAGTTTAAAGCTACAAGTTTTGAATAGTTTGAACAAAATACTTAAATTGTTAATTTAAATATAACATTAGAGTGTCAAATTAAATATAAATTTAAGTTTCAGTTAAAAACCCAAAGAATATTTTATGAATAGTTAAAAGTGATAAATTGTAGTGCTAAATTAAAAACTAAATTGTAATCTCATTTTAACTAAAATATTTCCTAAATATATTTTTATAATCTATATCATGCTATCATACTATCATACTATCATACGATCATACTATACTTATAAAGGAGACATTTTTCCTATCACCTCATGCATTTAAAACCCCCACACAAATTTCCAAGCACCTCATGCATTTGAAACCCCCACACCTCTTCACCTTCAAATTAATTAATCACATATCATGAAAGGTTTTATAACTTATATAATATGTTTAATTAGCAGTTAATGGATAATCTACTATAAAAATGTCATTCTCTTTGAGTAGACACACAAATACAAATCACATACAAAATTCACAAAGAAAACAAGTTTAAATGTTTTGTGTTGGTTTGAGGGCTTTGGACCATTTTTCGAGCCATGTTATTATGTTAAAGTTTTTTAATTTGTAAGTTTGTTATATACTAATTCTTTTTTTTTATATATATATTTTTGGTTTAGTTATTCTTTTAAAACAATCATTGTATGTTGTGGTTGAAACTTTAATGTAAATTTGATTAGATTCATATTATTGATCATATGTTATGGAAAGTGATATAGATAGTATTTAATTAAATATTGTATATATGTTTGTATGTTTTTGTTGCTTCAAAGTAATAATTAATAAAAAATCATGGATATGCAATATTATACATAATATCCATGTAAGTCTCTTTAAAATGTAAATTGTCTATCTTATCACTTTATATTTTAGTATATGTTTAACATTTTAATTATAATAAAGAGTGTCTTTTAAAAGTTTTCTTTCGTTTATTAATAATAATAAGTGGTTTTAAAACCAATGAACCATAATTATAAATAATAAAATCAAATTATAAAAATTATGGATATGTCATATTATCCATGCAAATCTCTTTTGAAATGTAAATTGTCTATCTTATCAGTTTATTATTTAGTGTATGTTTAACACTTTAATAGTAATATTAAGAGTTTCTTAAAAGTCTTCTTTAACTTATTAATAATAATAGGTGGTTTAAAACTAAAGAACAATAACTTTAAATGATAATAACATCAATTTATAAATTACATAACGTCAAAAACAAATAAATTGTATTTTAAATGAACATCATTATTGAAATTAGAAAATAATCGCATAAGTAAAAATTTAAATTAATCAATCATAAAAATTGTTAAAAATAATATTAAATAGATAATTATATTTATTTTTATTAATGATGAATGTGGATTGATGGCAATGAATAATATTTTTCAAAATATTAAGTCAAAGTTAATGTCAATAATATAACCATTTTAAACATATATTTTTCAACATTTTAACAATATATTTTTAACATACGCCGTGCAACGCGCAGGAATTCGTCTAGTACTTACATACTTATAAAGCTAGCATTTTTTCTTGAATCTCATGCATTTGAAACCCCCATTTTTTAACTTCCTCAAACCACATTCATTTGAAACCCCCTTTTTTAACTAATGCAACTCAAAAGTTTTCTTAATTATGATTTAACACTCAAAAGTTTTATAACCTATATTATGTTTAATTAGCATTTAGTGAAAAGTTTAATATAAAAAGGCCAATCTTTTGTATTATATAAAATCTTACATGTAAGAAGGATGTCATAAGAAAATGAAAAGAAAAATTTTCAATAGACACAATTCTTTTAGAACGTATTTGCAGTGATGAAGTCCGTAAAAGAGCTCTACAAGTCAAGGTTGTGGATGAATGTATCATTTTTTACTCATAATTTGACCGTGTTATATTTTTTTTCCAGTAATATAAATGAGACAATTCAAAATTATATGCTTAGAGATATTTTGTTTTCTCAAACCATATTGATTTGAAACCTACATAACTTTTTATATTCCTTAATTAAAACCATTTATAGTATTTATAAATTTCCAATAATTTTTTGCATTCTCTTATTATATATGTAGTTATATTAGTACATTTCTCTTACAAAAAGTCGTCATTTTGTTGAAGATATTATGATTCAAAAGTTTTCATATAGTTGAAGCATTCACGATCCAAATATGATGATTTGAAGAAATGGGTTATGTCGCATCGATGGTAATTGTAATATGATTCTTTATATTCAGTTTCTCATTTAATCTTTATATGTGATTTGTGTGTATTACTCAACTTGAATGTGACTCTCCAATAATCAATATTTTGTTTGGAATATCTTTCTGATTCTTTTTTTTTCAAGAAAAATATTTTGATTGCAGGTTAGTGAAGAATTGTCATCAAGTTTCTATGGTTGAATGGTGTTAAATGAAGAAAGAAGATTCAGAAAACAGATATAAGTTTTTTTGTTTGAGCAAAGTTGACGAATGATAGTTTTTTCTTTTGATTTAAATGTATGTTTATGTATCATTTTTATTTATATATTCAACCACCCAATGCTCTTATTTATTTGATTGTAGTTTTTCTATTTTGATTATGTTTATTTTCTATTATTTTTTTGTTGGGTTATCCTATACAGCATATTTACAAGACAATATTTAAAAGATAACATAATTTTTAACATTTGATATGTAATTATGATAGACTTATCATGATATGTTCTTCATATGAACGTAATTTATCCATATTACTACTACAAGAATTACATATGACATTTACGAATATATATATATATATATATATATATATATTATATATATATATATATATATATATATATATATTATATGTGATTTGTTTAACATGTATATACACCTATGTATGTTATAAATTTATAATTAAATATCTTTATGTTTAATAATTGAAGGGATTAAAATGATGCATCAAAACCAATTATTTAGACGAATATAATAATAATAATAATAATAATAATAATAATAATAATAACAATAATAACAATAATAATAATAATAATAATAATAAATACACATTTCCAAGTACCGCATTTATTTAAAACTCACACTACAACTCAAGAGTTTTATAATTTATGTATATTTATTAGTTACAACTCAAGAGTTTTTAACTTATGATTATTAATTAGTAATCACTAATAACTTTTTATTTTCCTTTCTTTTATAAGGTTGTCAAGTTTTGTATTTGAAGAGATTTGTGATTTAAATATGAAGAGTTAATATAAATGTTATAATAGATGTTTTAGTGTTTTTATATTATTAAAAGTTGTAGTGTTTATTTTTCATACTTTTGATTATTTGTTGTATATATATCTTTTTTAATACAAATGTTATAATAAATATTTTTCTATTTTTATGTTAATAAAAGTTACAGTTCATATTTTTGTTCATACGTTTTGTTACCCGTTATATTATCATTCATTTGATATACAATTTACACAATTTTAAACGGTTTATAAAATTATCAAATAATTGTATATATCACAATGACTTAAAAATTAAACTATAATGTTTAATAACAATAATATGTTAGCTATATGTTTGCTTTACTACTAACATTCTGTTTCAAAGTAGAAATATTAAACAATAATTTGGTAAAAGTTATTATTTTAACTAGAAATATTAAACAATAATTTGGTAAAAGTTATTATTTTAACTATATAATTCTATTCTCGCGCAACGCGCGGGGAATCGCCTAGTTCACTCATAAAGTCGCGAGTTGAAATTCTACTTGGAACATAGATAAATTTGGATATAGAATAAGAGTAGTTTAGGTTGACGTGCGAAAAAAAAAATGTTCTTCAAATTCACCATATAAGGTGAAAAATCATCTTTATTGCAGAAACCGTAACCGATTGAAGTCCATTTAATTTCGTTATATAGATTATTAAATAAACGAAAAATGGCTCCATAAATATACATTTAACCACCATATATATATTTACAAAATCACCTGCAGTGCTTCTTGTCACCCAGAGTCATCAACGCATTAGAAGCTGGAATCCTTCGTTATCGCTTTCTATTTCGTAGTCATATCCAAGATCGTTGGCACAACTACGAAACTCATTTAATTCAGTTGTCGGAACTTGAATCCCGACCAGTACATTTGCACCCGCTTCTCCCTTTTAGAATGGAAAAACTTATAATTAGAATCTTTAATAACAAAACTGTGATTAATAAAGAGTGTAAGTGTTACCAAAAACTAACCTGTGCACGATAATGTAACAAGCTAATATTCCAACGTGGACTAATAACGTCCAAGAATTTCACTAAAGCTGCAGGCTTCTCAGGAAAAGTGAATCGACAAAGAAGCTCATTTTCAACGTTTGATCGACCACCCATCTGAAGATTCAAATTAGTTTAGTTTTAATTTCGAGGTAAAGAAATTAAAAAGTTTATATGAATTAATAAAGATGGTACCAGATGTCGCAAATGGTCTTTAACCATGTCGTTGTGCGTGAATTCTATCGTATCTAGTTGAAAAGACTTCATCCTCTCAATCATGGCTTGAAGTTCGCTCTTTGTATGAACGCCAACACTATATATATGAACAAAAGAAAAGAAAATTGATTTTTTTTTTTTTTTTTTTTTGCTCTTTGAATTATATGTAACATTTCTAGATGAGCTTAACGTGCTAAAAATAGACATCAAGCTCATAAAAGTGTAGGGAATTTTAAGACTCGAAATTATGAAATTCGATCTTGCCTGTATAAAATTAAAGCTCGTTTTTTGTTAGGATCATATCTATACTTGAACTCGGTGATACTTATCGCTCCAACCTGCAAACAAGTTAATTATTGTTAGTCATCGGTTTTCACTTAAATCAAGTGCAACATTTGTTACGTACATGCATTCATGGGACATGAGTGTATGTGAGAAGGGTTAATAAAGCTCTTTAGCGCAAACTAAGGATCAAAAGTGAGTCGATGTCAAATCTTGATCCACTTTGTGGACAAAAAACATTGACATATTTCTCATATTATCTTAATGCAATGCAAGCTAAACGTAACATGTTTTGTTCGTTTGTTGTGTTTCTTACTTACAAGATTGTAGAACTTTTTAATGCTTCCAGGCTCTTCTGGCATGAAAGTAGTAAGCACAGCCTCTCGTTGCCTACCAACATTTGCAAGCTCAGTTACCAATCTCAATCTATCGAAGTTCATGTTAGCTCCACTGGTTATGGCTACAACATTAACATCCTTAAGGTTATAGAATCTGCAATAAGCTTCTGCTCCAGCAAGAGCAAGAGCACCAGCTGGTTCAAGAATGCTCCTTTTTTCCTCGAACATGTCCTTCAACACAAACACACATACTATTTATTTATAATCCTAAAAGAGAGAATATATAGCTCAACACGATGATCAAAACTGAAAAAATGGCTTACTTTTATGGATGCGCAGATGGCATCACGGCTGACAAGAACAACTCCGTCGATCAGTTCCCGGCATAAACGAAACGTCTCAACTCCAACCTCCTTGACAGCAACACCATCTGCAAAGCCACCGACTTGATCAAGCATGACCCGTTGACCATGGTGCAATGACAACGCCATTGAGTTTGCATCAGCGGGTTCAACTCCGATGATCCGGACCTCAGGGGAAACCCTCTTTACGTAGGCAGCAATACCGGCGATCAAACCGCCACCACCCACCGGCACAAATATGGCGTGGATTGGGCCTTGCAGCTGGCGCACGATCTCCATTCCCACAGTTCCCTGACCGGAGATTACATCTGGGTGATCGAAAGGAGGAATGAAGGTCCGATTTTCCTTTATCGCCCTTTTCTTAGCGTACGCTTGAGCTTCATCATATGAGTCGCCTTCAAGAACGACTGTTGCGCCAAGTCTCTTAACAGAATGCCACTGATCAACATAACGTTAAGTAAGCAGAAGTTCATAAAGCAAGCATTCGATCGTAACATGAAACATGCAAAATCAAACCTTGATATGTGGCGTGGTAACTGGCATAACGATAACTGCATCGCAGCCCAGTTTCTTGGCTGCTAATGCAACACCTTGAGCATGATTACCAGCTGAAGAACAGATGACCCCTTCTGCGAGTTGTTTCTTTGAAAGCTTTGCCATCATGTTATATGCTCCACGAAGTTTGAAGGAGAAAACCTATAAAATCATTTTGTAATTAGAGTCAGTAATTAAAGTGCTGTTTGATTTTCTGAAGCAAAAATTCATGAAGTAGAAGAGGTGGATCAAACGGCTGCAGAGTGTAATAAGAAACGTATTTGTTTTTTTAACGTCTGCATACTGCTGCAGATATTAAAAAATTAAAATAAACTAAATTTTTAAACCGAAAATAGTTTTTTAATACGTAAAATTTAATAATGTATAACATTTCGGCAACAATTAATGATATTTCAGTAAAAAATAATGATATTTCAACAAAAAATAAAGATATTTCATTAATAATTATCATTATTGAATATAAAAAAACAAAAAAAAAAATCAATAAGAATAAACAAAAAAAAAACGAAAAAAAAGGTGAAATAAAATTTCAACAACATATAATCAAAATTACAGCAAGAAAAGAAGAAGAATAAGAGGTTGGAAGAGGCAGTACAAATGCTGCGCCAAACAGAGCACGCGCAGAGGTTTTTGACTCCGAATACTTCTAAAAAACAAACATCTGCGAGATGAAAAGTGTTGCGCAGACGCGCAGCAATAAAAGGTTTGAAGATGTTTTTTTTCAAAAAACAAACGGCACCTAAGTATCTAATTGCTATACAAAGTAATAAAAATTCAAACTTTATCTTTAATGACGCATTTTATCAAACTAGTTGGCCTAATTTGACTATTCAATATCAATAATCAAATAAGGTTTTCAGAACACGAAACTCTAAACATTCCGATAACATGGGGTTTAAAGTCCCAATACGTTAGTATTATAAAAAATAGGATAGGGGTAACGGGTAATCTTTTTAAAAGGCATTTTGGTTTTACGACGAATTTCCAAAACTAAAAGATAAAAGAATCGAAATGGTCCTATGAAATTAAGTACCTTATTTCTTGTCGTGTTTTACGACGTATTTCCAAAACTAAAAGATAAAAGAATCGATCGAAATGTGTTACATGATGATGACTGATATTAATAAAATATATGTAATATAATAAAATATTAATTATAAACGACTTATTTGATAATAATTTTAGGAAAAACCATATGGTATTGCACATGATCAGTCTTTAGTTAAAAAACCTTTTTTATTCGTAATATAAATAAAATGATCTGTAAACGATTTTTTATTCCAGTAAATGTATGATAAAATTCATCATATTTTTCTAAAAAGACTCAAATACATAAATTATAAATTTAGAAGCAGCATGTATAACATAATGTCAATTTGTAAGCGTTTTCTCAAGTAAAACTTACAATGAATTTAGAAAAGGACTGCACTATAATTGAGATAGGTCTTTATATTGTTAAGTTATCAGTATAGTAAAAACACTTTGTTATTCATGAGACTGTATAGAGATTTTGTCATTTTGTATATTTCGTTTTCCTGTAGAGCGTACTACAAGAATTGACTGAACACAAAAAAGCAACTAATACCAAATTCTACCAAACATGCACGTACCGGCTGAGTATCCTCTCTCTTCAACCATACATCAACACCCAGCTTTTCCGACAGCTTCCCGGCGTGTTGCAGTGGCGACTCCACCGCCACCTCATAAACCTTCGACGTCAGTATGTTTGTCAGGTACTCCATTGCACCAACCGGCGGCGAGTCTGAGACACAACCATCGGGCACAGCTCCAACCTTGCCCTGTTCATACTGCAGTGAATCAAAAGAGAACTGTAGCAGTGGCTGCGGTGGGGCAGCGACAACACCGGCGGTAGATGTAGCAGAGACCGATCTTGACATGGCGGTGACGGAGAAGGAAACAGTAGCACTTGTTTTGGTGGTGGTTCTCGTACTGAGGTAAGGAAGTGGTAGTAAGTTACAGGGATATGTCGCCATTGTCGTTGATTGACGAATGACGATGGTTTGACGGCGGCGAAGATGGTGAAGTTAAGGGATACTGAATTACTTGAAGCTTGCCAACTTTTATAATAAACATTACAGTCATACACTCCACCAACCACAATTAATTATCGAATCATCGTGTATATATAATAAGATACAAAATTTTTAGTTAGAGTTTATTAGATATTATAAATGTTAGAATTCAAACATGCATGTGTTTTCTTTTTAAAATATCTACGTCTTTCTTATATCTTTATAAATTTCAAAGGACACTGCTAGCTAGCTAGAAACATAGGTTTAAATATGTTCTAGGTCTTTGTTATATATTTTATGGGTTTAAAATATGTTCTAGGTCTTTGTTTCATTTGTTAAAAAAAAGTATTATTATTGGTTGTTATAGATAATTTTAACTTGGAAAATGACTTATAATCAACCATAACAAAATATTATAAGTACACGTATTACTACAAAATATAGTGTTTTGTACATGTATCACTCAATGTTTTAAAAACCGGCTCAAACCGTCTGGTCGAACCGGTCGGAATGAGAACCGGAGACGAGAGCTGTTCAACAATGATCGGGTTTATGCCAACTTCTACACCGGATCAAACCAGACAGTTTCTTAAAAAAATCAGGTTGAACCAATGTAATAGAATCAATAAACAAGTTTGAATCGATTTATTTTAGGGAAAATATCACTGTAGCACAATAAACTTATGTGTTTTGTCCGATTTAACTAATTATGTTTTTCTTTTGCGCAATAAGTCATCTAAGTTTTACTGTATATGTTAATTAAGCCATTATCGTTAGTTTTTAACAATTCATCCCGTTAACAAAGGAATGGTTAAAAACTAACGATAATGGCTTAATTGACATATACAGTAAAAGTTTGTTAATCTATTGTGTAAAAAATAACATAATTGGTCAAATCAGACAAAACTCATAAGTTTATTGTGCTACAGTGACATTTTCCCTTTTATTTTACTTGAATAGTTGATTTTCACTTAACCCGTTAAAAACAAATCATTTCCAAAGAAAATTGAACAACTCAATCAAGTTATCAAGAGTGTATACAACTCGAAGGCCGGAGACGCATACCACTATGAGCAGTCCAAACGGTTGAACTAATGGTTGAACTAGAACCTACCACTAGATTGGTTCAATTAAAAAACTGATTTTTAAAATATTGTGTCCCGTTAAAGTTTATATTTTGTTCAAAAAATATCATTTACGTTACCAACATAATATGTTACAAGCCACTTGTCATCCTACTTGACAATTATTATAGATTCTAGTGTTCATGGCGTACATATTTTATCATTAGGCTTTTTATGTATACATTTTACCACTAAATTTTGCTGTACGCAATTTACCATTAATCTTACATAATTTATATAAAAATGATATTTTAAAAATTACATATATTTTTATATAAATACATATTTTTAGTTACATATAAAATGTTTTTTATGATAATTTTTGTCTTAATACAAATTATTGGTCAAATGGTTTTACTTACCACCTCCAGATAACCTACCACATTGGTCGAATACACTATATAATTTTTTTATTGAATACTGATAGTGGCCCATTGGGTTACACCAGACTACAATAGGTGGCGATGCCTCGATGTACATGCTTTGTGACGTACCGATTTTTCATCAATTTTTTTTATTTTTATTTATTCAATTAAATCAGAGTATAATTAATTTATACATAAAACATGATGTTTATGCATGTGTATACTCAAGTCTTGCCTTTCTCACGATCCGAAGAAGTACCTGAAATCATTTGTAATCAACTGGGTAAGCACGAAACTTATTGAGTTTCCTAAAATACCATATATCACAATAAATATACATACATACAAACAATGGCTCATGGCCTTTCGCCGATCCACCGATTGGTTCACAGCCTTTTGCCAATCCACCACTAATATGTGTATCTAGACTTATAGTTTGCCTGCCATTTCGTCGTCAACACGAGTCTATAGGCTCCAGACCTATCGCCGTTCTGTCTTCAACTCATCACTTAACCATATTGAATAAATACAGTACAATAACATTTAAACACATAGAAACTATACTTTCGGCTATACTCAATAACTCAAGTACAATAACATTAGACACAAAGAGACTATACTTTCTACTCTACTAAATAACTCAAGTAAAATAACATTAGGAACAAAGAGACTATATTTTCTACTCCACTAGCTCTTATATCCTAACATAAATGGATATTGATATGACCTTATTTAACCATATATTTTAGGCCATTATCTTAATATATTTGATTAAAATGTTATATTTTTAGATATATGGTACTTACTATGCTTGAAAATGTTCAATTACAGTTAAAATGGAAGCTGAGATGCAAAAGGAGGAGAACGGAGCTGAAAAAGACACAAAAAAGATGTTGTTGGCAGCTTGACCCATTGTTAGTGTTTTGGTCATATCTCATGACTTGTAACTCCAATTGATAAGATTCAAAATGATCTGAAAACTAGACAAAATTTCAGAGGACTTTCGTGTTTTGGGAAAATGTTGATTCCCAACGACCACGATGTGGTGAATGGAATCTTCGTGATTGTTGATGTTGAATTGGAGAATACGGGATAAACATGAGGACCACGACGTGTTGGTGTCCAACCACAACGTTGTAATATCCCGAGACCGGGTTTATCTCAATAGACCTTACTTTATTGTAGTTGTCAAGTTTGGCCCTTAATTAAGAAAAGGTGGTAGCTGAGTACGCAGGGCATACACATGTGTACGCTCAGCGTACTCATGTGCATGATTTGGACGCGGAAGCCACCTAGTACGTTGGGCGTACCAGAGGGTATGCTGGGCATCCTAGGATCTGAGTGAAAACCCTAATTGTGTGGTGTGTCCCTATTTAAGGAACATGATGGCCTTATTTCTAGCCACCATTTCCAGTCATCAACTCCCCTCAAAACCCTAATTTCTGTTTTCTTAGATTGAGTGGCCATTTGAAGCTTTTGAGTGTTCTTTGTGGGATTCTTTGAGTGAAGAAGGAGCCTTGAAGAGAATAGAGTTTGTCACACCCCAAAACCGGAACGGCGGAATCGTTCGGGGGTGGAGGACGTCATGTACAGTATCACAACAATACATAATAGTAAACAAGCAACAACATCATCCATTGCATTAATAATATAATTTAATACAAGTGTGTTTTATGAAGTTTAATAGACACCAAAAATATAAAACAAAATAAAAGATGAGTCTTGAAGTAGCTCCATCTTCTCAGAACCTGGCACCGGTACCTGTCTACTGTTGACCTGAGAATACAAGTTATTTTTGAAAGAGTTTATCAGCTTTAAAGCTGGTGAGATCATAAGTATATTAGTGGCATTGCTTGTATGAATGTGTTTGTAAGTATGTGATATATAAGTTTATAAATGTTTGTATTTGTTTGTAAATGTTTGAACTCCCCTAGAAAACCCTATGTTTTCTACTAAAAGTAGCCTTCTACCAAGGCATCAAATGTTTGTAGGTGTGTCTCTTGTAAAAGTGTGTATTTTCCCAAGTATGACTATCATTAACCAAAAATATAGTTTTACATTACCGTTCATTGTGTGAAGATCACAAAGTGAATGCAATGGGGAAATAATAAAGTACTGTAGTGTTGTATTAAGTAACTACTGCTGTACTAATTACCTTAAACCAATATGTTAATTAAAGTAACATGTGATCTGCCTGTACCATACTACTGACTAAAAACACGACGATGAAAGACGTCGGAAGAAATGACATTTGGCACCCGTCGACTTGCAAGTCCCACTGTAGCGAGCAGCAAGGTGTAGGATAGTCAATCCAGTATAGATCTATACACAAATTCAACGCTCCCCATTTAAGGAGATTATGGATACAAAACGAGCCATGACAGGTGATGCCATGCCCCGTTACGTGGCTCACATAACTATTGTAATGTTCTTGTATATGTATTGTGTGTACTAGCTCTATTGTATGTTCTCTCTCTGTCTAGTATGTATGTATGTTCTCTCTGTATGTTATTGTTTGTTTCTCGTTATAGTATTCTTTATATGTATGTTATGTTTGTTTCTCATCATAGTATATATTGACTCATGTATGAACTGACTCATTGTATGTTTCACTGTTCCAGTAATAGTATTGTAACTTCCTAAACTATACCTATTATAGTTTACTAGTAATGTTGTTTGTATGAATGAACATGTTTGTATACCTTTGCTACTCAAAGGTACTGAAATGAAAGAAGTAACTTTTATATCTATATACATATACATAATATATAACTAGGATTCAAACGACCTTCGGACAAATAACCGATACCCTAAGTCCACAACCAAACAAGGAACAGGAAGCAAGACGAGCTATCAGTCCTAAGTCCTTTCAATCCTACTTATATAACTATATCTATATAGGTACACATTTGACAAAGTATAAGTTTAAAAGAGTTTGAAAAAAGTATTTAACATGCAACAGAGTTTGTAAAACAGTTTGAAGTAGTTTGTTTGATAACACAGTTTGAAAAGTAAGAAATCCACTTGTTTGGTAGTTATTAATCACATGTGATTGATATAATAACTATAATAGTTCAACTTGTATTCCCCCCCCCATAAAAGCATGTAAAATCATTTAAAAGGTTGATTAAGGGGTATGAACTCACCTGCAGTGAGTAACTCAAACGAAAGATCGATATAGGATTGTTGGGTATCAATTGGAGTCTTGAGCACAAACGAATCCTATTTAACATATAATTACACATATATGAATACATTTAATATATTTATCCACAATTGGTGATAGGGACATGCCTTAAGGACATAGAAACACTCAACATTAATTGTTACTAACTCCTAGGGTTGCACCTAAGGGGTGTATGGCCCTATATTGGAGTGTAAGCCCACAAAACCATAGGTTTTGTGTGTGTGCGGCCAGAGTGTGCGACCATGTGTGTGTGCGGTCGCACACTCACTATGAAGTGTGTCTAAAACGTTTTTCCAAGCCTCAAGGATGTTCTAAGGAAGGTGTTTTGACCATTGGTTAGCCGGAATGGGAGTTTATTGCTATATTGGACCCTTAAAAGGGTGTGTGCGGTCGTACACA